CTGTGTACTTGCCTCGAGAATTTCGAGCAATAACATGAAACGTCAGATGAAAAAAAGGACAAAAAAAAAAAAAAAAAAAAGGGTCTTGTTGTCCATTGGAGGACTAGGGAGCTTTAATGAGAAAGTTGAAAGTTGAAACTTGAAGGTTAAACCCATTCTTTGGTCCATCAACTTTTGCAATTAACTCATTTCTAGTCCATTAACTAAAGAAATTTATCCTAAAGTTCAATTTTTCGACGTCTTTTAATTCCTCGGTTAACTTTTTGTTGACATAGCAAGTTAACTAAGGTTTCATTTAACAACATTTCTCAATGTTTTATTTTTTAATTTTTATGTGTTTTTATTATCTTAAAAATTTATAAAATATTAATTAAAATAAATATTAAATATAAAATATATTTCATATATTTTTAAAGTGTCAAAAGATAAAAAAAAATCTACAGTTGTAATTATATATCAACGTTATCAAACTAAACCTAAAAGAATCAATCTGGATTCTTTGCTTAAGTTCTCTGAGAACCCCAAACCTAGATTTGATGAATTGTAGATGGGCTTTAGTGATTAGATAAGGAAAGAGAAGATAAGAGAGAAGGGCAAGAAGATCAAGGTATATAAGTAATTTAATTTATAAAAAATATATATATATATTAGGTAAAATGAAAAATGTGTAATTAAATAAGTTTTAACTTCAACGTAACCAACCACCCCTCGACCTCACCTTGTTGCCACCAACCATCCCAAATACCGCTTAAAAAAGCGAGATGTCGAAGGAAAGGGCAAGACTCCCCTATAGTCGTTGCAACAGTTATCCACCCTTTTCTTTTTTTTTTGGAAAAGCAACAGTTATCCACCCTTGAGGGGAAAGAACCCTACCGGGAAATACAACTTGCCTATGAGAAGGAAAAGAGCAACGTATCCATTATATTACCACCACAAAAATCGAAATTTCCACAAGGGGAAGAAGAGAGACAAAGAAAAACCCTAAAGGAGACCATCACTGGCTACTTGATCTATTTCTCGGATACATTAATGGAGCCTTCGTTTCTTAATTCTCTACCTCATGTTTATTTTACTCGACGCGCTTTGCATAACGTAATATATATATATATATATATATATATATTTGTAATAGAAGACAAATTTTATTAATATTATTAGCAATAAAATAGAAGATTGATAACAGGGAAAAATGGAGCATCACGGAGCATCACTTGACTGTCACTGATCCCACTCAGTAGCTCGTCAAGATTTATAATATAATTG